ATGCGTAGATGATGAGATAAAAACTTGACGTCTTCGACAAAGTTGCTTGGTTTCGCATCTTCTACAACTTTGAAGAAGAAAAAATATTTCCCTGAAGAGTTAGATTTTTGAAGTCATCCTAAAACTGAATCACCCTAATGATTGATCCAATGAAAAGATGCGCTTTTTCATTACCAACAACTCTTTCGAAGTGATGTGATGTAATGTAAAGGATACCACTCATTGTTGCAAGGCACAGCCATTAGACAGTGGATCATCCTCCAAGTATGACTTGATCAACTACGATACCTGGTTGTATTCAATTTACCATTGTAAGAAGGGCCAAAAACGGAGGGGCGGACCCGTAAGCAGATAAAATCCTACAACCCGATGTAGAACAAGCCATCATACGAGGGAACGTCCCAATGAGTGGGGAGAAGAGCCCGCCGTCAATTCCGTCAAGTCAAATCAATTCACGAAATGTTAATGACAGGGAGTTGGCAATTCCACTCTCCCCATCCAAATCGCTTCAATCCGGTGCCCTGGTTGTCCCATTCCTCCCCTTTGCATTTAATGTGTATATATATATATATATATATATATATATATATATATATATATATATATATATATATATATATATTTATATCGGCATTATCCGTTAGATTTTGTCAACACAATTTTGACTTCTTGGCTTTTCAAAATCTTTAATAAATGCAAATCTTATCATCTGACCTATTCCGCGAGTCGTGCGAATCTCCACCACCAATGAGTCAACAAAAGTCACGCACTAGTGGGGTGACTCTCCGTGCAATCAAATGAAGAGTCACCTCACACGAGGCGACCACCGTCACCCTCTTGTACACAGCAAAAAAATAATTTTGATATCACATCAAAGTGGATGCACTACAATCATGTCGAAAATTTCATGTAATTTTATGACCACAATAAATAAACAAATGCAGTAAAAGCAGCGTAATGTCAGTTCATGCATTGTATTAATGATAATTTTGTCCTTTTTAGCAAGTAATATTACACCATATTTTCGACATGATTGTAGTGCATCCACTTTGACGTGATATCAAAATTATTTTTTTGCTGTGTAGCTAATGGAATCTTTGTCATTGATGAAAAAATGAATGAGATTTGAACAAAGGTTTTTTTGAGGATCAAATTTATCAGTGACTACGTGATAAACAATTTTGTCAATATCGCGCGAAACTCTGTCAATGACAATGACAAAATCTCAGCACTGTATGGCAGTGTCAAAACTGTATGTAGAGAGTAGAAAGTGAGCAAGGACAACTTTGATGAAGGTGCGAATCGGGTTGATCATCTCTCTTTACCAAACTCCCCCGTTAGAGAGGGATGGTGAGGGGTATCCCCCCTCCCGGCACCACCATGGTGGGTATATAAATGGTGATACAGCTTTGTCACTATATAGGCGAGGAGGTCGCGGGGGGGAAAAGTGCGGTTTTAGAGCAAATTGTAAACAAACTCGGTCGCTGTCCTATACAAAAATCCAACATGGCTGAATCATGAATTTGACACATTAGAACACCTATATGTAGTCACCTTGGCCAACACTGGCAAAAGAGATGATCATTGATTTGCTTATGTACCGACGATATGTTTGAAACAGTTCTACCAACAATCAATACGAAACTATCGATTTGAAATTGGCCCCATTCTAGTCTGAATTCTAGTACTACACTATGTTTGTTTTGATTCTCTATGAAAGTTTGACACATAAAAATGAGGGGTTCGTGGATTTTCCCATGTTTCGAGGGGTGCATCGATTAGCTTGGGACCGAAGATAGTACCAGAGCTGAGCCAAAAAGTTGGAAGCAAATCTGGCGAACTTAGTCAGCTACTTATGGCTGTTGGAACGGTCGGGAGAAGCTCTTATTGCATATCCATTAACGCTTCTATACAGCTGTTACCCTGCTGTTTAGTTGTGTGTGTGAACTTGAAAGGCGTTTATTCAAGCTTTTGCCGGTTATCCAATAATCACTACACAGCTTTCTCTTGAAGCCGGGTTAAATACTGTTTACGCTTTTTTATGAAGGAATTTATTGAGTTTATTCTGCTGTGAATCAAATTAATCGAAATTAGTTACAAATCATCACCAAATTATTTACAATGCACCGGAACCTGGAATCGAACTCGAGACGACCTCATTGGCAAACCTTGACACTACCAACTGTGCTACGCCAACACTTTGAACTTATGTAAACAAATCAACATTCCCTTCTACAACAAAATCGCTGAGTAGAGGCTTTATAATAGTACACATGAATCACTCTTCTCGACTAGTTATAAAAGAGCAAAGTTAAAGCTGTAAAACTGCACACATCTAAAAATAAACCTAGTTAACTGTGAAAATGCTTCCGAAGTTGCTCTAACACAGTTCATAAGCTGAGTACAGGTTGTTTAGTTGTTGAAAAAGCACTTTTGATGTTTATGTTATTCAGCAAGAGTGGTTGGTTGTGTAGAAGCCATCAAATGAGTAATATATTCACTTTGTTAGCTTCTTTTGCAGCTACAAGTTGAAAGTTGATTAGTGTGTGTATAGAAGTGACATTATTGGCTGATGTTATTCAGTGCGACTGACAAATTGAATAATGGTTGCGAGAAAGTTGAGTAAACGCTCTCCAAAACTATTTTTCTAGCTTTTGCTTGTAGCTGTATCTGCAGCTTCTTTTCAGCTACTTTACAGCACAACGCTGGAAAAGTTGGCTTACAAAGCTGAAAATGTTAGTTGGGCTGTTATGTGTTTTACTTAATTATGTATATTATATTTTAGGAATATTCCTTAATAACTCTTTTGCGAAAGTTTGGTGGCCCTGAAAAGGGCTGTTTTGTTGGGCTGATGTTGTTGACAATGATGGAACGGGCGACCTTGTTTTACGCTTATATAGTAGAACAGAAAATATCAGAGGTGTCAGATACTCGCATCTGATGTCTCGGTTGGAGAAAGTATAAGAATATAAAAAACCAATCGATTTTCACCATCTTTAGACAATGGTTTACTTTTAACCATTTTTCAATAGTTTACAGAATTAAATCAATAGTTTTGAAACAAAGCAAATTGCTAGAAATATTTCCAATCGATTGATGCCATTATCTCGTAAATCTATCGAGAGACGGTTGAGTTATTATCATTCAAAATCTTTTAATTTTTCGTAACGCATCCAAAATGACTGTTTTCAATTTTGTACCCTCGTATGTTGCCGAAAGACGTTATCCAACGTCAAAAGTTGAGCACGTTTCTTCGGGACCTACAAGTCTTAGAGTTACCTCTATGGTTCTATTGATTGTACCGCACTCAAGAAAAGCCCTCTAGTCAAAGTATGGAAAACTGTCACCACAAAACTGAATAAAGCTGTTCTAATCGAACAAAGCGGTGCATTTTGATGGTTCGATTGGAACAACTTTTGACAGACGTCCACTCTTTTACTGTAGGGCTTTACACTCAAGTCGTTATCTAAAGGGAGGCATCTAGTCTTTTCTTCTTTCCTTTATTTAACGTCGGTCTCTGTTCCGCAATCTAGTGCCAATGACCGACGGACATCGATTGCCATCCATTGACGGCAACCGAATGTGCAGGAAGGCAGCTTTTCCACACCTGCGTAGGATATCGCACCCATTCACAACACACATGGGCCGGGACCAACGGCTTTACTTCCCTTCCGAAGGAAGACGTGACCAGAGATTTTTATGCCTCAGAAAAATCCCACTGACCTCGGCTGGGATTGAACCCAGACCCATTGGGGTGTTAGAAAGCAGTCACGCTTACCACTACACCACCGGCGCCGGATTTCCAACAACGCTAAAACCAGTAGATTTTGTGGAAAACCCAATTTCCATGTATTTTTCCGCTCTGGACCACTGTGCAGAGCGAAGTGAAGTTTTTATTTGCTAGTTTATTACAAGATTGCTTTGATTGTTACTTTGATCTGAATGCCTACTGCTACTAACAATTGTTAAAGTGTGATTGTGTCAGTGGTTTGTTCTCATCAGGAAAATTTTCCTGATGAAAACATTTTGTGTATACGTATACGTGACGTATAGTGTCAGCAATCTCTATGAAGTAAATCCATTCTCAATTGGAATTTAATTCCGTTTTTAAGCATATGAAATGAACTGATAGCAACATTACCCTACCGATATTGATTAATTGAGCGCCGTAGTTGACCTACTTCTATTTTTCATTTTCCACGAATCTGCAAACAACAAATTTTCCCCAGACATGTCAGCTTTGTCATCTTCCTTTATGCCGTATTTAATGTATTCAGCAATGAAAATTGAAACTGTGCTGAAAATCCCACGGTGTGGGTCAGACAACAACGGCGACGATAGTGAGCACAACGACTTTAACCGCACCAGATGGGAATCCCATGTATTTTTGTTTTACCGCGCGTTCTACTAGCGTCGTCTCGCCGAAACCCATCAGCTCGCGCGTGACCAGCATGGAGCGTTTCCAAGCCAAATAGCAAAACAAACTTGAATTTCAGACTCGACCTTCTCCGATTTGCAAGGCAATTTGCGGAATTGTTTGCATTTATGCGGTGGATGGTACCGTCCACCCACCGCTATTTCTCGGCTGTCCTTCAACCAATTGAGCCGATTTTCTAAAATTCGATGTGAATTGTTGTTGAAATTCATGTTTTTATTTCTTTGCTATTTGGCCTGGAAACGCTCGTAACTGCTACGACGACGTCACATGCGTTCGCTGTCGATTATCACGCTACCGCTTTCTCTGCCACCCGTGCAACATTGGAGCTCACCGCCATGCTCACTGGCCGGTTTGATGCGGCAATGGGTAATCCCTTTGTCGAGCCCCCCTTTGTCGAGATCGGATGCCGACGCTTCCGTGTGCTGGTGGCTACCGAAAGAACATGTGAGTAGCGCAACGATCTAATCGGGAGGCCCCCAGAGCCCGAGCTGAGTGACCAACGAATGTTTGAAAATCAGCTCACAGTTCAGTTCAGTTCAGAACGTTACTGCGGTAGGTCGTCGCGTCGTCGGAGTTACTTGTGTTGGCTCGCACGGCGCTACGCCGTCTATTAGTGACTTCGATATCTCGGTTGTTTTTTGTTTTTGAAGTTAGTGCGAATAATAACAATAGTGCTAATTGGTTTCGTGCTTTGATTGACCGTATAAAACCTATTCTGACGGCACTGAAATAACACATCCCGGGAAGAGCATGCCGGATCCAACGCGCATCGAATCCTTGGTGAAGGAATTCAACGATAACACCCATGGGCCGAAAAAATTGCATCAGTCCAGGACCCGCTTCATGCCCATCGTCTTCGGTCGGGATGGGGTAAGGAAAAGTGTGAATGGCTTTTGCCAAAATGATGAAATTCTCGATTGGCACCTTTCTTCAACTGAACGAAACTGGGACACACAGTGTTGTGAAATATAATTTTAGAAAATGCGACCGCAATCATGATTGTCTGTCATCTAGAAATCATGCTTTATGAAAGGTGATTCTTTGTTAGTGAAATATGTGTGGTGGTGAAAAAAAACAGAGATCGTCGTGCAGATGGACTTTGGTGGGGATTTCCCGAAATCAAGAGATGAAAATCGCTAAACAAGAGCAAAGATGATGTAAAAAAAAGCGAATCACTGGCGTCTCATTGTCAAGGTTGAAACAGAGAAGACAGACGCATTTGTGATGGCTGTTAAGAAATCTGTATGCAGGACGTTGAGAAGAACCAGTTTATTACGATGCTTATGGAAAGCAGCCAACGGAAATATGCAGAGCAAAGTAAAATTAAATTTGTATGTGGAACTTATCAGTGCGTGAAAACGAAAAAAGAGAAATACATTATTTTCTCCATATGTGCTAACAAGTTGTTGACGGTATCATTGTTGCATAAATGATCGAGAAAGATAAAAAAAAACTTTCCTAAAACAAGACACGACCGCATGGTTGATGTAGAATACGTTGAGATGTTTAGTGAACTTCTCGTGCATTTGTCTTGATATTGATTTAAAATACAGTAGAAGTAACTTATTTCCTCAATTTAATCAATTTCCTCTCCTTGACATGTCAATTTCCTCATCCTTATTAGTTTTTTTCTGACTGTTTCTGGACTGTCCGTTATTGATATTTCTGCATATGAAACACTTGTCTTCAATCCTCCGTTATAAAATATATTCCCCGTGCACAGTTCAATTCAATATTTAATCATAATTTGCTACTTTAAGCAATCAAAAATTCGTCCATCCAAGCAAGACCATAATTCTAAATGTTCATTGGATAGCTTAACGTAGGAATTTATCCCATCGTAGGAACCCATTTTCAGAGGTTTTATTTTTGTTGGCCCGACCTGAACACAGCACCACCCAGAAACTCGTAAATCCACTTGGTGCATGAATTTTGTACCAAACAACAATGTAAAGCTCTACTTGAAAATGTGAATGAATTTTTACCGCCTCTAAGGATCCCACTTCAACACAGGGACGGCCCAAAATCATCAAAATTCAGTTCGCCAAGCAGAATCTCACGAACACTAGCGTGTAAATTCATAGGATTTTGATAGTTCTTACAGTAATGCATCTGTAATTTGTATACAACATCCGAAGTCCTTCCTTTTTTAAATATTCTGCACAAAAACTACTTTCAACGCCCCGCCCCTGACAGGATTTCGTACCGTTTTTTTTTATAAATGGGGCGTGACAGGAAGTATCTTACTTACCATACTTACCAATCAGGCGAAGGCCTTGTTGTCCTCTGCTGTCCGAAGAAGTCGTCTCCACTCTACTCGATCCATGGCCACAGTTCGCCAGCCTCGTAGTCTGCGAAGGGTCCGCAGGTCACCTTGCTCGCTGCGCGCCTCTTCTTCTTGTTCCTGTTGGGTCGCTTTCTAGAACCATTTTCACTGGGTCGTCGTGCGGCATTCTTACGACGTGCCCAGCCCACCGTAGTCGCCCAATTTTTGCAATGTGGACGATGGATGGTTCTCCCAGCAGCTGGTGCAATTCGTGGTTCATTCGCCTCCTCCACGTTCCGTCATCCACCTGCACTCCACCGTAGATGGTACGCAACACCTTCCGTTCGAAAACACCAAGGGCGCGTTGGTCCTCCACGAGCATAGTCCAGGTCTCGTGGCCGTAAAGGACCACCGGTCTAATCAGCGTCTTGTAGACAGTCAACTTCGTGCGGCGGCGAATTTTATTCGACCGAAGCGTCCTCCGGAGTCCAAAGTAGGCACGATTCCCTGCCATAATGCGTCTTTGAATTTCTCTGCTGGTATCATTTTCGGCGGTCACCAGTGAGCCCAAATACACGAACTCATCGACCACCTCGATTTCGTCACCGTCAATCTGAACTCGGGGTGGGAGGCTAACATTGTCTTCCCTAGAACCTCTTGCTTTCATGTATTTTGTCTTTGATGCGTTGATGGCAAGTCCAATCCGTCTAGCTTCAGCCTTCAGTCTGATGTACGTTTCCGCCATCATCTCAAAGTTCCGTGCCATAATGTCAATGTCATCGGCGAAACCAAGGAGCTGGATGGACTTCCTGAATATCGTGCCACTCGTGTCTATCCCAGCTCTTCTGATCACACCTTCTAACGCGATGTTGAACAGCAGACACGAAAGTCCATCACCCTGCCGTAACCCCCTTCGAGATTCAAAGGGACTCGAGAGTGTCCCCGATACTCGAACAACGCACATCGCTCGATCCATCGTCGCCTTGACCAATCGCGTCAGTTTATCCGGAAATCCGTACTCGTGCATAATCTGCCATAGCTGATCTCGATCGTTTGTGTCGTATGCGGATTTGAAATCGATGAACATATGATGTGTGGGCACGTTGTATTCGCGGCATTTCTGCAGAACCTGCCGAATCGCGAAAATTTGGTCCGTGGTAGCGCGGGCACCCATGAATCCCGCCTGGTATTGCCCCACGAACTCTCTTGCATATGGTAACAGACGGCGGCATAGAATTTGGGAGAGTACCTTGTAGGCGGCGCTCAGCAGTGTGATCGCGCGGTAGTTGCAGCAATCCAACTTGTCGCCCTTTTTGTAGATTGGGCTCACGACACCTTCCATCCACTCCTCCGATAATATCTCCTCCTCCCAAATCTTGGCAATTACCCAGTGCAGTGCTCTAGCCAGTGCTTCACCACCGTATTTCAATAGCTCACTTGGTAGTTGATCTACACCAGTTGCTTTGTTGTTCTTCAGCCGACCGATCTCCTCCTCAACTTCTTGAAGATCAGGGGCCGGTAGCCTGTCGTCTTCTGCGCGTGCTCCAAGGTCTGTTGCCGTGCCATCTTCGTTTTCTGCTGCTTCACCGTTGAGGTGCTCGTCATAGTACTGCTTCCACCTCTCAATCACCTCACACTCGTTCGTGAGAAGGTTACCGCCCAAGTCCTTGCACATATCGGCTTGCGGCACGTAGCCTTTGCGCGAACTATTTAGCTTCTCGTAGAACTTCCGTGTGTCGTTTACGCGGTACAGATTTTCCATCGCCTCGCGATCTCGGTCTTCCTGCTGACGCTTCTTCCTTCGGAAAACCGAGTTTTGTCTGTTCCGCGCTTGTCTGTATCGCTCCACATTCCATCTCGTGCGGTGTTGCAGCATTCTCGCCCGTGCTGCATTCTTCTCCTCTACTAACAGTTTGCATTCGCCGTCAAACCAGTCATTTCTTCGGTCCGGGATTGCAGTACCTAGTGCCGCTGCAGCAGTACTACCTATGGCTGAACGGATGTCCCTCCAGCCATCTTCATGAGAAGCTGCGCCAAGCTGCTCTTCCGTGGGTAGTGCAACTTCCAGCTGCTGCGAGTAGTCATGGGCAACTCCGGCGTTCCGTAGTTGCTCAATGTTGGGTCGCGGCGTTCGACTTCGACGGGTGTTATGAACCGTCGAGGGTTTTGAGCGCATGCATACTGCAACTAGGTAGTGGTCCGAATCTATGTTCGCACTGCGGTATGTGCGGACGTTGATAATGTCGGAGAAGAATTTCCCGTCGATTAGAACGTGATCGATTTGGTTTTCTGTGTGTTGGTCAGGTGATTTCCAGGTGGCTTTGTGGATATCCTTGCGGGGGAAAAAGGTACTTCGAACTACCATACCCCGGGAGGCTGCAAAGTTCACGCATCGTTGGCCGTTGTCGTTCGATACGGCATGCAGGCTGTTTGGCCCGATTGCCGGTCTATACATTGCCTCCCGTCCTACCTGAGCGTTTATGTCGCCGATGACGATTTTGACGTCCCGTTGCGAACAGCCGTCGTACACCTGCTCCAGCTGCGCATAGAACGCTTCTTTCTCGTCTTCGGGTCTCCCTTCGTGTGGGCAGTGCACGTTGATGATGCTGTAGTTGAAGAAACGGCCCTTAATCCTCAACTTGCACATCCTCGCGTTGATCGGCTGCCAACCAATCACGCGTTGGCGCATCTTAACCAGCACTACAAAGCCGGTTCCCAGCTCGTTGGTGGTGCCACAGCTCTGGTAGAAAGTAGACGCTCGATGCCCGCTTTTCCATACCTTTTGTCCCGTCCAGCAAAGTTCCTGCAGTGCTACGACTTCGAAGTTGCGTGCTTGAAGTTCGTCATAGATTAACCTATCGCAACCCGGGAAGCCGAGCGATTTGCAGTTCCATGTTCCGAGTTTCCAATCGTAGTCCTTATTTCGTCGCGTAGGTCTGTGCCGATTGTTCCGATCCGTATTTCTTTCTTCGGTATTTGCAACTTTGTTTTTTTTTTCCAGGGCGGCTTGTTGGGCCTGCCCCAACCCCTGTCTCGCCGGGGACCATCGTGCACAGCTCTGTTTAGAGTCCCACGCTGGCACTAGGACGGTGATCAGCCGCTCCTAACATGGAGAACAGACGCCGTTTTGAGCCGCACCTCCATGGTGAGCAGACGCTCAGGTTTGGTGAAGCATTTCCTCTATCACCGTACTATGGTTACCGCGCCAGTGTTCGCGTCGCACCTCTTCACTTTGCTATTGCCGGACTGGCAACATTGCCCAGGCTACGCCAACCAGCTGTGTCCATGTTTCAGCTGGTAGTCTTTTGTTATCATATGACTCGAGGAGGCGTGAAGTAGGAACTTGTGAGGACCAGGGCTAGGTATTCCGCTCCTTCCAGGTTGTCAACTCACCATTTTGTAGCCCAGGAAGTATCTTGCAGAATATGTAAAAAGAATGGTCTTAAGATGTTAATCTAATTGCATATAAAGAGATATCAGACCAAGGGGTCTGCACATTGTGCAAAATTAGATTCGGCAAAACTTGGGTAAAATCTCGTAGGCATTGGATTATTGTAAATAAAATGGGAGTACTGCAGGACAACTGTCATTGAAGTTGTATACA